TTTAATGATGTTCACCTAATACAAGGCCTAAGGGCCACTCATGGTAGAAGGTTACTGTGTAAATATGTATTAGCATAAGAAAGGGCAAGATAATAGGAAAGTTATCTAATTTTAGACTTGAAGAGGTCAAAATTTAATTAGCGAATAAAATTTCAAGATTCAGGCAGAGATGTTAGGAGCTATAGAGTTGAAGTAGACTTCAGAAGGAACCAGAAAGCCAATCCTAAACAGGAAGCAAAGGATGATAAACCTCTATTGTTCAGAAGATGAGGAATAAGTGTGAACCAGACGATAGACAAACATGTAGCTCTATTCAAAATTTACATGTACCTGTACATATATTCACACAAATCTATTAGGTAAGTTGTTTGCTGATTTCCTTCCCACAATAGGTCCTGTGAGTATTAAATTTTCCTAACCTACCTTCCTTATAAATGTGTCCTAGAAATTCCAATTGTCTGTTTCTGATTTTAAGGATGCCTTTCTTCTTTAAATTTGTGCTTGCTAATTTATTATTGTAGATATAAATAATTTTAAACAAATACTTTATATAAAAACGATTGTCCTAAATTGTTGTCTGATGTAACTTCCTCTTCTCTTTCTTATGCTCTTCATATTAGTGAGGTAAGAATGTTCAACTTGTTAAAAGGTATGCAATGCAGAAGACATCACTATCAACAAGTAATGAAGAAATTATTTTTTAAATGTTAATCCGTCCTATCTTTTCAAATATAGACCCCATCAAAGTTTTGGATTATCATGTGTCTTTAAAAGCCTTATTTTACTAATTAATTTGAAATATTAACAACTCTGTTTAGTTTTCTATATTTTGGTAAATTGGCTTTTTTAAAATAACATTATTAAATATTGCGTAATATGTAAGTCCTAGTGTTTTTTATATCACACAATAATGTTATTTAAGAAACTAATGTAATTTTTGAAGAAAACTTAAAACAATTTTTGGTACATTGGCACCAGTGTTTTGTTAGCAATCGTCACAGGAACACCTTAATTTGTGGATTACTTACCAGGTATTTCTTGATCAGTAAAGATATTCAAAAGGTCAAAAAGTTCTGCATTTATATATTTTCTGTAAGTAGTGATCATGCTTCTATTATACCTGTACAGAAAGTACAAAACATTATTTTTACATGAAATCTTAATTACACCGCTTAAAAATCCGTGATGACTATTATATCGCTAGTATCATTACCTGTATCTGTATGTACGCAAATTTTTTCTAAAACTACTTTCAGGGTATATGTTATTTATATAAGACCACCTTCAGAGTATATGTATAAGTTGTGTTATGAGATGTAAAGTAATATTGTGTTTATGTTTGGGTTCTATTCCCAAGCTGCTCCTTTTTATAGAAACTATATAGAAATTAAATAGCCTGTATTCCAAACTTCGAAAAAGTCTCAAAACCAAAGCATTTCTGGTCCCAAGAATTTAGGATAAAGGATTGTACTGCGGTTTTCAATGTTGCCACATTGGTCAAAGGTATTCTCATCTAAACATGTCTGCATTTTTATTTTCTTCAGTTTTTATTTATTCATGTAGCATATATTGATTACTAATTTTTTACGTTATTTACATTATTCGGACTATTGTCCTCATCTTTGCTGCCATATTTATTACGTTTCGACTGTTGTACACTCTGGCCTTCTTCAGGTAGTTGGAATGTCGAACTGAACCCTTTATTTCGCTCACTGGGGTAGACTGTTCTAGTTCCATGTGCCATGTTTAATGGATGTCAGTTATCAGTTATCATCTGTTAATTCCCCTCTGAAAGTTCTCCACTGCCTTAACCGGGTATTGAACTCACACTCTGGTTCCTGTCACTGGATCTAACTAACACCTTTATCCACTGTGACATGTGGGAATTAACAGGAGATAACTGATATCCATTAAACATGGCACATGGAACAAGAATGGTCTACACTAATGAGCAAAATAAATGGTTCAGTTCGACATTCCAACTACCTGAAAAAGGCCAGAGTGTACAACAGCCGAAACGTAATAAATATGGCAACAAAGCTGAGGACAATCTCATCATTGTGTACTGAAAGCTGGGGAACAGCACAATGTGTGATCTCAATGAGAGAAATATCACATCTAGAAATAAGATCATGAACCCAGTTTTCCAAACCATGTGTAGGTACTTTATTCAGGGCATCACCTGCTCATCCAGGTGAGTAGGTAAGTGATACTTGGGACAACTTCTGCTATGTCCCCACCCAACAATTCCTTGCCCATTTATTCATCCAAATATGATGGCTGGCAGTCTGAAACAAAGGTGTCAGATCTGCTTGATGGGCACAACTGAACTCTTCCTGATTTCAAGCATGACTATTAATATAGACCATCACCCGGATATACCCTAGTTCCAGTTTTGTTGCCACTGGATCTCCAAAAATCCCTCATGCACTTTACTTTCCATTCCCTTACAGTTAGAGTGGATGCTGCTTAGAAGACCGAGCTTCAAAAGGAACCGCTCGTTGGTCTATCAAACAGAAACACTTGAGATTGAGATAAAACCACCTCTTCACTTTCTGTATGGGTTGCCATAGTATCACAAAGTGCCGCAAGTTTCCTTATGATGGATAAATCCTTATTGTCTAGAATATAATTAAATTTTATTCAAATTATATTTATCTTAAGAAAATGTAGATAATGAGACTCATGTGAAATGAAAAAACAACCAACAGAAATAGTATATCAATCAATTGTTGAAAATTGGAAGAGTGTAAAGAAAAAAAATCCAAGAAAATATCGTTAAAAATTTATTTCCATAATTGAAATGGCAGTACAAGTATTTGATTCTCTTGTTTTGCCAATTATATTTGAACTTTCTTTTTCTCAGATCTTTTCTGTTAATCCACCCTAAATAATGTAAAGTTACTTACTCCAAGAAATTATAAATTTTAAATCAAAGGTTTTTTTTTTTTTTTCATTAAATTTTTGGCACTCTTGAAATTATAAATTTTAAATCAAAGTTTGTTTGTTTTTCTTATTACATTTTTGGCACTATTTTGAAATTTTAAATCAAAGTTTGTTTAACTTGCGTTGCAACAACTCAGGGAGTTATTCACATTTCATCAGTGTGGATGATATTTGAAGTATTTACAAGAAATTTAAACTGAAAAAGAAAAAAATCTGTTTTTGGCATGTTTATCTAGGTGAGCACAAATGCTGACCCCACACTTAAAAATAGTGCACTCGAGTTGGGGTGATCACAAAGGTCGGCTCAACTGGAGCGCAATGGAAGGGCCTTGCACTGAGAGAATTTGGTAATAATTTAATTTTTTTTATTTTGGGGTGATGTAACAGAAAAGATTTTTTTACAAAATGCATCCTTCCTTGTACTGCTAGGGTTAATAGCAAATTAGAAACAGTGATAATATACTACAAAGTTGCTCAGTTCTTTGAGGACACATATTTTAATAGCTGTAACCTTTTTCTAAATTATTCTAATTTCTTTTCAGATGAATGATGACAAACATCATCCTAACTCAGCAAATGAAAGGGTACACTGTAATTGCTGCCTTAAAGGTAGTGTATAGTGATTTAGAGTTCGCTTGCTTCCTGAATCTTGCACGGTCATTTATTGTCAAAGGTTGCAAAGAGTTGAAAGTCACTGACGGGGACACTTCAGCAGTATCCAAACATATTACCCCTGCTAGTAACAGATGAATTATGGTTTAAAACTCTCATCGATTATGAACCCCAGAAAGTCTATTAATGCCATTGCTCAAGGTACTGAGGCACTCTATCAGAAGTATAGTACATGAGGACCTTTGGTATGAGTCATGTGATAGAGGGGGACTAATTCAGGTCTGGAAAGACAAAAGATAACTATTGGATCTGTGCGAAATGCTTGTCGAGCAAGTTAAAACATCAAGAGCCTGTAATGTTTTGTATTTTGTTTTCTGATGAGATAGGTCGACCAAAAGAAAAATAGATGATTATACAGAGACCCTAAGGATGTTACCACAGAAAGTTTGTGTGCATGTTGGAGCAGGCTGTGAGGGCTTGTATATAGAGGACCATACACCTACCAGCAAGATTCTGTCCCATAAGTCCAATGCAGTTAGAATCTCTACGATCACATTACCCGAAACACATGGTGTCCTCATTTTACAATTCTGAATCTATTCGACTATGACATTAGAAATATAGTCAAGAGTGAGGTCAATCAATTCCACAATAAAACTGATAAAAGGGATGAACATGTCATGTGCCACCTATTGAGGTCAGGTGCTGTGGATTCCTTGGACTGTCAATCATTTCCTTCCTTTTGAAGATCTGCATCAGTGGCTGGAATTGACAGTGTGCTCCACATCATCTCCAGACCACAGCTCAACAGGCATCAAGTTGGAGCAAGTCAAGAGTCAAAATAAAGTTAATAAAACCATGCTCACAACACACTGCTACTTTCGATGTGAAGCACATCTGTTTACTTTCTATTTTACATTATTAATAAGGATTGTTCCAATTGTGTTGTGTATTTTAACACAACATTGAAAATTTCAGTTTTAGTTTTAAAATGAAATTGCAAGAGATTGACACATCTACACAAAAAACAATACCCTGTACTGTGGAAAAATCTGCTGTTGGCGCCAGGAGTGGCTATACCACCTTAGCCACTAAAACTGTGTTACTTCTTCTGGTTGGTGGCTGACAAGGGCAGGGTATTGAATGTGCATTCACATGTTGTACATAGAGAATTGATTTATTTTTTATGGCTTATCAACGATTTGCAGGTTATTTAAAGCCAGAAAATATTTTAGATTGCAAGAATTGCTTTTATTTTGGAGTTAATAGTTTAGTGATACAAATCTTACTAATTAACCCATAACTGGGGGGAAAGACAGATTCATACTTTTCACAAGGGTAATTGCACATAAATGAATATAACGAACCCAATAGGAATTGGGACTCGGTTCTCCGATAAACAATTCTCAGCCATTATCCATTACACCACCCGCACATCTAAGCTTACAGCACCTGATATTCGCAAGGGGTCACTCATCTAAGTATTAACCAGGATCAACATTGCTTAATTTCAATGATCGTACAGGAATCAGTGTTTCAACATGATGTGGCCATAAGCCCAAAATAGATCATCTGACTCAGGCATTCAGTGTTTCAATTGATTGTTATTAATTTGAAGAGTATAGAGAAAAAAATCCAATAAAATACCAATAAAAATTTATTTCCAAAATTTGAAATGGCAGTACGAGTATTTGATTCTATTGTTTTGCCAATTACCTTTCAACTTTTCTTTTTCTTGGATCTTTTCTGTTAATCCACCCCAAATGATACAAAGTTACTTATTGCCAATATTAATTCACTCCAAGAAATTATAAATTTTAAATCAAAATTATTTCTTTCTCATTATAGAAATTTTATAACAAAATATGTAAGCCCAAAATAGATCATCTGATTCAAACATGTCAGTGTTTCAGAGCTTGTGTTAAGGTTATCATCAGTGTTAACACTAGATTCATTAAATGGAGGTATCAAGGGGTTTTGATATTATGCCAATTTTTTCATAAAATAAAGGTCTTCTTTCATGACTTATACGTCACTTACTAAATACATACAAATATCTTCAAAGAATTGAGAAACCCTGTAGTTTGGCATAATATTTTATCACATTGATGTCATATTAATATAAGCAGAATGAAAAAAACATCTATTATAGACAAAAATCAGTGTTCTCCATTCTTCCATTAAATCTAATAATATTAACATCTGAAGGAAAATATAAAAAAAAAAAATTATTGCATGACATCATTTATTTTGTAATAAAAGGAATTTGTATAGAAAAATTCAGATACCTCCATGTATATAGTGAATTAATATTACATAATTAATTTCTTGAATATAACGGAATATCATATTTTACTAATGTTTCTTACAGATGTTCCAGCATAATCTGAAGAATTTCAATACATTTTCTTTGTGACATGATAGTATGGAAGAAGAAAGAACTTGTCCAGATAATTGTCGACATAAATTGTCACATGATCCAGTTTTAAAAAGACACATTCAAAACCGAATTAGAAAGAAACCATATTCTTGCGAAGTGTGTGGATTTTCCTTTTCGTGTAAATCAAAGTTGACCCAACATATTCAAACACACACTGGTGAGAAACCATACTCTTGCGAAGAATGTGACTCTTCCTTTACATATAAGTCAAGTTTGTTGGTGCATAAACAGACTCATACTAGAAAGAAGTTATATTCTTGTGAAGTCTGTGGTTCTTCCTTTACACAGAAATCAAATTTGGTGGTACACATGCGAACACATACTGGCGAGAAACCATATTCTTGTGAAGAATGTGGCGCTTCCTTTTCAGCTCAGTCAACTTTAAGGGTGCATAAGCGAACACATACTGGAGAGAAACCATATTCTTGTGAAATTTGTGGCTCTTCCTTTACACAAAAATTAAATTTGATGGTACATATTCGAACACACACTGGAGAGAAACCATATTCTTGTGATGATTGTAACTCTTCTTTTTCATGTAAGACAAATTTGTTGGTGCATATGCAAACACATACAGGAAAGAAACTATATTCTTGTGGTGTTTGTGGCTCTTCTTTTATACAGAAATCAAGTATGGTGATACACATGCGAAGACACACTGGAGAGAAACCATATTCTTGCGAAATATGTGACTCTTCCTTCTCATATCCATCAAATTTGAGTGTACATAAGCGTAAACATACTGGAGAAAAACCCTATTCATGTGAAGTGTGCGGTGCTTCTTTTATGCAGAAATCAAATTTGGTGAGACATATACGGACGCACACTGGAGAGAAACCATTTACTTGTGACATGTGTAGCTCTGCTTTTTCAGATAAATCAACTTTGCGACGACATAAGAGAACACATACTGAGGAAAAAAAGGTCTTGTGAAGTGTGTGCCTTACACTTTTCACAGAAGTTCTATTTGAAATTGCATATCAGAAGACACTTGAGAGAAGGCATATTCCTGTGAAGTTGTTGTTTCTTTTTTATTGAAGCCATAATAGAATTATCACACATGGAAAATAAACCATATTCTTATGAAGTGCATGTCTTATTTATTAAAGAGAAACAAAGTATAGTGGTATGTTTCCAAATATTTGCTATTGAGAAACCATATTTGACAAACTTGGATCTTCATGACCACAAAAAAAAATGTGTCAAAAGGACTCTTCTTTTTTTTTTTCTTTCATTAATACTGCTATTATTTTAACTACCATTACTCCTCAGCAATGTTTGATTTAAAAACCAATGATTAGGATTGTACTAAAACCTAAACATATGAGAAAGGTGAATTTATACATTTGTTTGTTTTTTTTTTTAAATTCATAACAAAAATATTAAACAACATTTATTTATTAGTATTTATTTTCAAGAATAATTTACAACATTCTAAAAGCTAATAAAATTGAAAAATAAGGCAATATTTATCAATTTATAAAGAAATATGAACTTATTTTTATTGGCAAATTTATAAACATTCACTAAATTATTACAATATGTGAACTGACTATAAGTAAATGCTTATTTACCATTTTATAAAGTATGAATTTACTGCCAATTAACTGGTTTGTCAACCATTCCAATAAGCAATATATTAAATAGTGTTTAATGTTTTTGGTTTCTTAAGAGCAAAGAAAATCTATAAACTTGCTTTCATTTGTTTAGATTTTCTTAAGATTATAAACATTGCCTATGTGTAAAGGTAGTTAAAATAATAGTGGTATCAAGGGAAAAAAAAAGTCCTTTTGACACTTCATTTATTTGTGGGCGCAATGGTCCAAGATTGCTCCATATCATTTTTCTAGTCATCAGTTTTGATGCGATGGGGGCATATGCAAGTGAGGGGAAGTGACATACTTGCAAATGGTGAAACATTTTTTCAGTGACAGTTAATGTGATATTTGTAAATACGCACTGGAAAGATATTATGTACTTATTATATAAGTGAATTCAAATTTGAGGAGACATTGATGACAAACTGCAATACATGTGTGATTTGTCTTTTCAAATGAAGTCAGTTTCAAAGTGATACGCATTCATATATTTTTCTTAATCGGAATCACCCCAAACAAGGCAGTAATGCCAGTAAAACACAAGGGGTTATAAGCATGGAAGAATTAGGAACAGAAACGCTAATGATGAGCAGTAAGGGGAGAGAATAAACAGATAGTGATTGACACTGCATTTAATTTTTTTGCAGATTAAAGTTGGCTGGAAGGCATAGAACCAGAAGGGACTTCTATATGCGAAAATTGGGAAGAAAAATTATATTCATCTATTACATGCAATATATATATATATATATAAAATAATGTATAGTTTTCAGGTATGCTATATGTTTTAATGTGCTCAATGTCAGGGATAGAGAGTATGCAAATATAAAAGTGGACATTAAAGTCAACACCCAGAGGTGACAGTCTGTTTCATGCTAAATACAATCGTCAGGCACCTGACTGACAGTTGGATTTAGCATAAAACAGGCTTTCACCTCTGGGTGCTGACTTCAGTGTTCAATTTTTTTAAATATATATACACACACACATACATATATGGTGCAATGAATGAATTTTCCTCAAAATTAAGCAAAAATGAAAAAACACTGACATCTAATTTTAACATATATTTACCAAACTTACACAAAAATATCTTGAAATAGTAAAGAGTAAATTTATTCAATAAAAACACCATTGACTTCAGCCGTAACCACCAGATGACTTCAGAATCTCCTGCATCTCTTCTGGGCAGTCTCCTTTTTCGGTTCATAAATGCTGCCATAATCCTTGCCTTCAGTTTATCTTTGGTGTTACAGAGTTTTGTGGGTCTCTCATCTGCACGCCACATAATAATCAAGGGTGTTGCAGTCTGGAGAGTTAGGTGACCAAAGGTAAGGAGTAGTGTGATTGTAGAAATTGCCTCACAGCCATGACTAGGTTTCTCTGTGTGTGTGGCTTGTTGCAGTGTCCTGTTGTCAGATGTAGGGTCTTCCAGCAGTCAGCCTCTTGACCCAGGGCAGCACTACTACAAGGCACTTGATGTAGGCCTTCATGTTTGAGGCCCTCACCAACAAATTCAGTTCTTTTCTTATCAGAACGATCTGAGTGAGTTTTCCAAGCTGACATACCTTTGTCGTCGCCATTAGACTCATCCAACTCTTTCCAAATCCTCTGCACTGTCCTCATATTGACACCCAAACACTCTGAAATGTTTATATTGGACTTGCAGCATAAATGTCAAGCAGTACAGCATGCTATTTCTGATGGAGTAAATTGCATCATGGTGCTCTTTTTCTCACAGACTGGTACCCAACTGACACTATTCTATTGTGCAGCTGACAAAATCAAAAACAAACAACGAACATGCACAAAATTAAAGATATGAAATGGAGACAATTTGCCCATTGCATCCTCTGTGTGTGTGTGTGTATACATATATGTGTGTGTGTGTAAAATGTGTATTTTTATACATATAATTTCTTTTTATGGAAGTTGACATTTCACTCATTTGAATGCAAAGATATATGAACATAAGAATATACTCTTATAAATGGCAATAAAGGAACTAAAATGCAAGGTGTTACAGAACGTGACATTTTACTGAACACTGTGCATATAATCGGGCAGCCAGTATAGTACCCAGGGTCATGAACAGCAGATCAAAAGGTTAATGATGTGATAGAGGAATTTCTACAGATATTTTATTGTTGCAGAGCTCACCATTCAAATTTAACCTTTAACCCACTAATTTCTTTCTAGAATTGTTCCCCTTCCTCTGCATTTTTTTTTTGAGGATGTAAAAATATGATACATTTTACTGTTTTAAAATTGTTATAACTTTCTTCGTATTGTGTATAGATTTTAAATTTTGTACACTAATAAAAGAATGAGTAAGATTTTCATGTAATGCATTTTGTAATGCATGTTTTGACGTTGAAAAAATTGAAACACGAAATAAAAATGCAAAATAATCGATTTTGCTTCTTATTGCACCCCCAGAACTCTACAAGGAGTAATAAAAGTTAAAGTACATTGAATTATGTATTTTTTAATGTATCTGTTTTTTATTTTGTGTTT